GCATCCTTTTTAGACATGTTAAAGATAGAACTTTTCTTTTTAGATGCCTTGGTGGGGGTTGTACTAACGGCTTCAAGCTTAGCAACTTTGTTAGTTAGCTCATCACAATGTTTGCACATGGTTTCCATTTTAGCAAGCAAACTTTTATAAGCATCTTGTGTGCTATCTAACTTTTCTTTTAATTTTTTATTTTTCTTTGCAAGTTGCTCATCATTGATTGTGCATGCATTTGTTGTTGCACTAGCCTTAAGTTGCTCAATTTTAGTAGATAGTTCAACATTGAAATTAGCAAAGTTCTCATATTGTTCAATCAAAGTTTTGTATGCTTCTTGTAAACTATTTAGCTTTTCTTTTAATTTTTCGAGCTTCTTTTGTTGACTAGTGCAAACTTTAGCATAATTAAGATTTTGTTGCACAATTTCATCATAAGAAGGCATTTCATCATCACTATCATTCTCACTAGAGGATGAGCTTTCGTTACCTCGTGCCATAAGGCACACACGAGAAGAGTTTGATGATGAGTGCTTACGGCCTCGCCTCTTGTGATGGTGTTCTTCTTCACTTGAAGAATCATCCCATGACCTTATTGATGTGAGGGCTTGGTTCTTGCATGCCTTCTTCTTTGTCTTGGGTGTGGGCTTGTTTGGACAAACTTCCACAAAGTGCCCAAACTCGCCGCATCCATAGCATCCTCTCTTTCTTTGCTCATTTCTTTGATTGGTGAAAATGAGATCTTGGATTTGGATGGTTACACCCTTGACATTGAGCCTTTGGATCATCTTCTCCACCTTGTTGATTAGTTTGATTGATTCTTCATCAAGGTCAGAGGTGGAGGAGGAAGATTGATCATCATCATTTGATTCATCATCATCATCCTCATCTTCTTCTTCATCTTCACTTGAGGAGCTTGAGCTTGAGCTTGTCTCAACTTTCTTGCCCTTCATCTTTGTTTTTCTCGCTACATGCGAGAGCTTTGCCTTTGCTTGATGAAGAGGCTTCTTCTTGACCCATCTTGCGTGACATTTCAAATCCCACTATCTTGCCAATGACTATGGTTGGGGTCATGGTACTCAAGTTCTCCATGTTGTGAAGGATGGTGATGATGCTTGCATATTTCTTTTGTGGTAGCACAGAGATGATTTTCCTCACGATGTCCGCATCACCTAGCTTTGTTAATCCTATAGAATTAAGCTCATCAATTATTAGATTTAAACGAGAATACATATCACGAACAAGCTCATCATCATTCATTTCAAAAGAATCATAACTTTGTTGAGCTAGGCAATGTTTTTGCTCACGGACATTACTTGTGCTGTCATGGAGCTCTTGGAGTTTTAACCAAATTTCATATGTCGTATTTAAAGTGAACACTTGGTTAAAAATATCCATGCTAAAAGATTCGAACAAGCAATTTTTAGCTCTAACATTGAAATGTATTTCCTTTTCGTCACTCTTTGTGGGTTTATCGGGATTCTTAATGGGTTTCATCCCGTCACGAGTGACTCTCCAAACTCCCAAATCAACCGCCTCAAGGTAGCAAGCCATTCTAGCTTTATAATAGGGGAAGTTAGTGCCGTCAAAGTGCGGAGGTCTAGAGGTATCCATCCCAACCACTCTAAGTAGCGTCGGCTCAACGGCGGTTAAGCCAAAGGTCCAAATTGAGCCAACCGGCTCTGATACCAATTGAAGGGGACCGTGATGCCTAAGAGGGGGGGGTGAATTAGGCAACTTAAAAAACTAACTCTAAACTATGGCTTATTTTTCTAACCTTAGCAAAACCTATGTAAAAGATAAACTATCTAAATGTGCAACTACGGTTTTGCTAGTGTGTTGCTATCTTTACCACAAAAGGAGTAATACAATTAATGTAAATGTGGAAGCTAAAGAGCAAGGTAGAGATATGCAAACTCCCGTCGACGACTCCGGTATTTTTACCGAGGTATCGAGAAGCGCGCAAGCTTCCCCCTAGTCCTCGTTGGAACCCCTCGCAAGGAATCCCTCGCAAGGGCCAAGCTCCCGGTCGGATAACTCTGTGGATAGCCTTGGGCCTTCCCCACGCGCAAGTGGGTCTCTGATGTGCCTTCCGGCAAGCCTCTCCCAGATGCTCCCTGTCGTCTTCACTATTAAGCTTCAGGCTGAAACGCCGCGGGCCTTGTTCCCTCTGGTACATGGTGGCGGCCACACCACAAACGCGGTTGGTGTGATCTCGCAAGACTACAAGCCCCTCCGATGTACAACAATGATGCTCGCAAGCACCGAGTAGTAAGAGGTATGCAAACCTCACTTAAACACTAGACCTAAACCTAGAGCAAGCGCATGAGCGGTGGTCTAATCAACCTAAGCACTTCGCAAAGCACCTACGCTAATCACCTGATGAATCACTAAGCACTATACAAGTGGAGATCACTAAAATGGTGTATCAACACCCTTGGTATGTTTCCTCAACTCCACACACTCCAAATGGCCGGTTAGGGGTTGTATTTATAAGCCCCATTGAGAAAGTAGCCGTTGGGGACGAAATCCCGCTTTTCTGCTACTGACCGGACGCTGGAGTCATCCTGATCAGAAGCGTCCGGTCGTCTCGACCGTTGGAGCTGCGAACAACTGATCGGACGCTGCCAGTGTCCGGTCACTTGCCACTCTAGAACGCGTCCGGTCGTAAGTTCGCTGCTCTGGAACCTCTCTGTACTTGATCGGACGCTGCTGTCCTACGTCCGGTCGGTTTGCCGCCAGCGTCCGGTCCAGTGTCCGGTCGCTGCTGCTGTTGCCGAGCCTCTGATCGAAGCGTCCGGTTGCTTTTCGTCAGCGTCCGGTCGCTGCTGTGAGCTCGTTTCTTCGCGATCTTGCGTGCGGCTTGGTTCCTATCTTCATGCTTGGACTTTGCTTGATATCTTAGGTCTTCTCTTGTGCTCCTAAGGTCTTGCTTGAGGTGTTGATCATCGAATCATCATGTCGCCTTTGTCCAAGTCACGTCTTGCATCCTATTGAACTACAAAACAATCACTTGCAAATTCATTAGTCCAATTTGGTTGTGTTGGTCATCAAGCACCAAAATCTAAAGTAAATGGGCCTAGGGTCCATTTTCCTTACAGGGGCATATCAGGCGGAAGGGGAAGTACCCAACAGAGGTGCAGACAACAGGCCAGGCGGGCGAGCAGCTGCCTAGTGCCGACGGTCGATGGAGGCGTAGACTCGAGGCAGAGTTAGACTGCGGACTCGAGGCAGAGGCAGAGTCGACGGAGGTGCGGACTAGAGACTGTGGACGGTCGACGGCTGCAAGCAGCGACGTGCGATGCAGGGCTGGCTCTGTGGTAGGGGCGGCCAGCCGGTGGACTGGAGCAGAGGAGCAGCCAAGCAGAGCTAGAGGTAAGCCCGCCGCCTTCACTCTTCCTCTCCCCTCACCCTCACGGTAAATGCGACGCGCGGTTGATTTCCCGCGCGTAGATCCTATCTGGGCGGACGCGTGGTCGATTTCCCGCGTCTCTTGCTTTTCGCACGGTCGATTTCCTGCGGGGCCGCGGTCCGTTTGGGGCCCTTTCCCCGCGAGTTAGCATACGGCGTCCGCGACGCAGCTGTAGGCGTCCACCCGACGCCTTTCTACGCCTAAGGCGACGCCTAATACGATTATGCGGACGCCATACCACTGTAGGTTGTGGCGGCCCCGACGGGCAGCACCTCTGCCACGCCACGCCTAGGCGACGCCTCAAAAACATTGGTCTGGACTCTACAACAGCTCTTGGTCCCATACCCATCCATCTGTGGTATTACATCAAACACCTGTTGGACGTTGTCCTGTTATGGCGCACTGATGAATATTTGGGGAGAAGAACTTGGTAGGTTTCCTATCATAACAATTTTACTGCCATGTCTTCTCACCACAAGGTCCTTGCCACAGCTATTCCTGCTATGTCTTCTCATCACAAGCTTCTTGCCACAGAATTTCATGTCCATGGACGAACAACTAGCGGGTGTGCCCATCTGGGTGGACCACCACACCTGACACCGCTAGTCCCAACCTCCACAATGGTGCTAGTGTCACCCACACGAAGCCTCGGGCACTTAAGAGCTCCTCCTGTTACCCTATTTGGGAAGTCTAATTTTTTTTTTCTGTTACTACGTTATTTATGTGAAAATAAACTCTGAAATGTCTATAACATTCCTGTGTTTTAAACAAGCCTTCACTCTATTACATCCATACCGAACACATCGGATATCCAGTACCGTAGCAAACTTTGTTCCCTAATGTAGTAGACGTTTCTTGGAGGGGGGGGGGTTTGATTGAGGCCGTTACGATTCTTGGAGTTTGAAAAAATGCCAGTATAATTCGTCTATTCGGAGATATGCCATTATAATTTCATCTCTCCTATGTCCGTGTCATTTTCATCGGCTGCTGCATACAAGGACCCACTGTCAGTTATGTATGCGTATACGAAGGGCCCACTGTCGGTTATGTATGCTTATACGAATACATACGGATGTCAAGTCACCGTCTTCTCCGTCTGACCGAGACCGCTATCCGCTCTCTGCTCAATCACCGCCGCAGCGCTGGCTGCCGTCGACCTATGAGCCTCGCGCGGTGTCCGCCGCGGGCGAGAGCAGCTCCGCTCGCCTGCAGGCCGCTGCGGCCGAGCGCCTCCGGCCCCCACGGGCAGCCACCGGCACGGGAGAGTTGTGCGCCCTCTCCATCGACGGCGGCGTGCGCGCGGCCGACGGGCTCCTGGCCGACGCCGCGCTGGTGCGCATGGAGGCCGCGCTGCAACGGCGCGCTGGCAGCCCCGCGGCGCGGCTAGCCGACTCCTTCGATGCGGCTGCGGGGTCCGACGCGGGAGGCGTCCTGGCAGCCCTGCTGTTCGCACGCAGGCGACCTATGTGCAGCGCTCACGAGGCGCTGGCGTTCCTCCTCCGCCACGTGCGACGTCGAACACGGCGAAGGGGAGCGGCGTCCGCGGCGACGGTTTCCGGGGTCAGGAGCCTGCTCGACGAATCTTCTTGGCGCGGCGTCAGGAGCTGAGGAGCCTGCTCGACGAATCCTTGCGGCGCGGCGTGGCGCTAGCGGCCTGTGGTGATGGAGAACCAGAGCAGCGGCGACGCGGCAGTGCCCGTTGGTCAGCGCGACGCGGTTGGCGACTCAGACGACGGTCCCCGCGGCAAGATGCCGAGGTACTGGCGAGATGGCTTGCTTGGGTTCCGGCACGAAGAAGCTCGCCTCCTGCCCTCACGATACCCCCGGCACCGCACCCGACCGTGGTCCTCTCCTCGGCCATCTCCCGCTGGATCGCCTCTACGGCGCGCGCGGACGCGCAGGCGTTGCACGGCAGCTCGCCTCCAGCAGCGCGCTGAACAGGCGGTGGTTGACACCCTGAACATGCGAGGAGCATGAAGAGGAGCCGTGTGTTCGGCGGCGTCCGTATCGTCGAGGCGCTGGAGGCCGTGCGGGAGGAAGAGGTGCGGAGGATGCGGCAGCGCGTGCTGGAGATGACGCCAGGGGTGCTGTACCGGCGCCATGGGAGCACGACCGAGACGAGAGAGGCCGTGAAGGATGCCATCGCCCTCGCTGTGGATGGCGTGCTGCATAGGATTCGGAGGCAGACCACGGGCGAGCGCCGCCGCTCCACTCACGCGCAGGTCGCCGTGGGCTGCTCGTCCGGAGTGGGCGGACTCGGTTTGACGGAACAGGCAGGGGACTTTGACGTCCGTCCGAGTTCCGTAGAGGACATGAAATTATAACGACAGATGTCCGAATAAACGAATTGTAATTATAATGGCCTTATCAAAATAACCCTTTTTTTTCCTCCTTACGTGCTGGATAGCAGATCAGGTTTTTTTTCATCCACCTATCACCCGTGAACGCCGGCGATGTCAGACCAACGACGTGAGCATTCACAGGAGGAAAATTGGAGATCTCAGTAACACAAGGAGGGAGGAAGATGAAGATGAAGATCACCTTCCTGACCCAACTCGTGTTTCTGAAATTTTCTATGTCCTTCTTCTTTTGGTATGCTGCTCCTTTTGTTAGGTAGTGTTTGGTTAAAAGACATAGTGGGATGGGATGATTACGTCTCCATTTATAGGGGTGGAATGGGGACAAGATCTCATTTGTTGTTTGGTTAAGAAGGGATCGGACGACTCTGTTTTCTTTTTGGTTCTAGGACATTAAAAGTGGAATGAGCCATTGACACGTAGGACCCACCATTCATCAGTTTTTTTTTCTTTTTCTTTTTTGTTCTTTTTCCTTCTTCCTTATCCTTTCTTCTTTGTTCTTCGAACACAAACCGCTCGCGACCCCGTGGCCGTCGAGCCACACGCCCGTGGCCATCGAGCTGCTCGCCCGCATGCCGCCGCCACCCGCCCAGCCGCTCGCGCCGCCGCCGCCAGCTTGCGACCTCGGGCCAGCATGCCGCCCGCTCACGACCATGGGCCTCGGGGCTAGAACTCGCCCACGCGCAGGCAAGCATGGAGCTCAGCCACGCACCGTTGGGGCAGCTCACCGGTTGCCCACGCGCGTCTCCTTCCTCCTTACGTGTGCTCACGAAGGCCGTCCCACGTCCCACTTCCCGTGACTCCGTCCGCTGGATTTTGAGGGACGAGAGTCAGCCGGATATGCTCCGAATATTCCAAGTGGGATGACTCTGCCCCTTCTCTGACTCCCATTCAAACAACCTCAGAACCAGGTCCATCCCATCCCATCCCACCGAATCCTTCCATCCGGACACTGCCTTATATAGTCCTTAATAATCCTACTGGCCTTGGGCTTGGGCTGTGACTTGGGCCAACGGACTTGATAGCCCATGCACATATTGATACGGTCCATCGCACTGCTTGCATGACAGATAACTCGTAGGAAATTAATCAGCCAGGATCCCAGTCAAATAGCATTGACAAATTGGCACATATCATGACATGAAAACACACATTTCAACTTCCACATGCATGAATTATTCCCTGTGAGTATTACAAAGAAAGAGAGAACCCTAATTTTGTTGTCCAAAATCGCCCATGCACAAGGGAGTACAATACCATTAAATGCAAAGCAAAAGTAGAAGTGCATCAAGCTAACTCAAATATTACATTACCATCCCTCCGTCAATTGTAAGCACCTGCGTGTAGCAAAGGGTTAACTGAGATGTTCAGAAACAAAACCCTGAAAAGTCAGGGGCATATACATTCGTAGTTTCACACACCTGTCCGGTCATATAGCTAGCTGCGGGGTTAAGGGCTAGGAACTCGACTAACCCTGCAACTTCCTCTGGTTGGCCATATCTCCCTGGAAGTAGCATAATAACGTGTAGCATTAGCGCTTAGCGGTGATAGTCTGACAGATGAATCATGTGCCAAAAAGAAAAGAAAAAAGGCCCAAAGCAATATGATAATATGCTATTTGCATATTCTGCCAAAATTAATGGATTATGGTTCTATAAAATGATGCTTGAGCCACTGTGTACAAACAAAGTTTGGATCTCAATTTTATATGCGATGAACTACCTAAATATGGATTCCAGTTCACGGCTTTGCTTTCTAATTTCTTACTACTCTTTTCTTACAGTGTTTCTAAAGATAAAAACAATGTTAACTCTTATTATCCTATGCTGGTAATTTGTAAGTTGGGGCCGCTTTTCATCTGTTAATAAATACGATACCAGGAATGAGCTTCCTTTCACGATCTATCAGAATGCTAATACCAGTAAGTAACTTTCATATTTGGAGTGTTACTTGACAAACAAAAGTAGCAAAAAGTCCCTGGCCAAGGGTGCACCTTACGATGCAATCCAGGGAACCAGATGATCAGACAGCTTAAGATGCATACCTAATGGAATGGTTGACAAGATTTTCTTCTCAAGCTCTTCTCCAAGTTCAGCAGTCATATCAGATGCAATGAACCCTGGTGCAATAGCATTCACCTGCATGAATATTCAGAAATGCATCAGAAGCCAGACTAGCCAAAGTTACAAGGGAGCTAACAATGAAAAGATAAAAGTTCAGACATTGATATTTCTGCTTGCATACTCCCTGGCAACCGTTTTCGTGAAACCAATCACCCCAGCCTTGGCTGCACTATAATTAGCTTGGCCAACATTGCCAGTAAGGCCAACGACAGATGCAATGTTGATAATTTTTCCCTGCATTTTAACATAAAAATACACACATTACAACACCTTTTTAGAATGTATACAAGACAAATACAAACATAACTCATGAGAACAAACTATCAGCCCATTACTGAGGCACGACTCAATAGTTATGCATTACCAATGTGAGTCACTGACTGGTCTAAATTCTTAAGGTTTTAATCCCTTTCAGTTATTCATAAACACAAGGTAAACAAACGATGCAAGAAGCCAGTAATTTCTTTGTGCTTCTGAAAGAAAGTTAATATATCCTGAGTCGTGACTGGAAACTGTGTAAGAGGAAGAGTTGCAACAGTTGTTTACTTATGAAGCATGAGTATTGCAAGAGTCCTGACTTAATTCTTATGGTGCTTTTCTAACTAATTTGCCAGCTACCTACCACCATCCATACATGCTTCTAATCCTAGGTTCCATTTGTACTTTCAAATCCTGAAAACCAGTTGTAAACAAATAAAATTAAAAGTTCTAGTCCAATTAGCATTCAGAAGAGATGTGCAGACCAATTTGAAGAGCAAACAGATTGTACCTTTTTCTTCTTCATCATTACTTTTGTTGCAGCCTGCAATGGATATGTTGCTGTAAGATGCATATAAATATAAATCATAAACAAAGAAAGATTGCAAACTTACCTGTGTACACAGGAAGACGCCTGTAAGATTCAGATCAATTACATCTTGCCACTGAGATTTCTTCATCCTCATCAATAATGTGTCTCGTGTAATCCCTAATAAGAAAATATTGTTTATTTGCCAAACAAAGTCAAACCAAACAGGGAGCTGGCAGTGTGCAATCTACCATGAGAACATACCTGCATTATTTACCAGCACATCTATTGTTCCCCATTTATCTAGAGCCTAATTCAATTAACACATGAATCATAAAACCATGGTAATAAAGATTGGTGTGTTTAAAAGTGAAATGGAACATTTCTTTTCTGTAAACAAAATACACTCACTGCTTTCATCATAGATTCTACATCAGCTTCTTTTGAAACATCTCCTCCAAAGGTGATAGCCTCACCACCAGATGCTTCAATCTGCAAAAAAGACAATGTAAGCATCTGACTGAGTACATGTTCAAGATGGAAAAGAAAAAAGATAATAAACTGCCATGTATTGCTCTCTAAAAATTTCTAGGCAGACAACTGTCACCAAGTTTCAAAGGATACTTAAATAACTAATTTGCCTTAATCGTACAAAAAGGTTAATTTTAATTAACTACATTCAGGAATCACCTTCCTATCGTTTTTTTGGTCTGCACTCCTTGCATTGTTGTTGTTACTATTCTACTAGTAAAAAAACAGTAACAATATACCAGCGAAACAACCAAAGATATTGCAGAATAAGAATTGACATCACATTTTTATTTGATTTATGAGATATATTAAAGAGGCCTATTTATTTGTTCTGATATTGCAGTGCCTCACAAATGGCAATGAGAATTAAGGACAGTGACATTATCACATCACTAATGATGATAGTGTATGATGTGAATTAGGTTAGAACTTAGAAGGTAAGCATTTGCCAGAGTGAGGGTGAACAGCGATGAGTTAAGTTAGAATGTGCGAAAGAGAGTTCTTGAGGCAGAGTAGAACTTGGACAGAGGATATCCTAGGCTGAGGGCGTATGTGAGAGACTACAGGGGAACCTTACTTTGATTTTTGATTATTCCTAGCTTAATGAAAAGTTGAAAACAGCTTCAATAAGAATTAATAGGCATCCCTAACAACCTAACCAACAAACACCATCTCTAAGCAGCTAACATGGTAAACCATGCAACAAACACAATGTCCATGTGGCTAACAAGCCAACCACATGCACTTATGCCTACTAAGTACTAACAATTTCTTAAATCTTAACTGATGCATCTAGTACAAACTAACTAAATATTGTGCCCGTCATCCAGTTGGAGTGTTGGACCAAGGCCCAGCCCACAACAATATATGAATTCCTTTATGGAGCCAACCATGAAAGAACATTTGAGTCTGATATAAGGATTGTACAATGCTGAGAATCAAGGAGAGCCATAGCAGCAGTGATATTAACTTGTAGTGAAAACCAAAGCAATTTACTAAAAACGGTTACAACAAATTGGTTATGCACCGCTTGATTGTCTCTATGTCTGCTTTCTAAAGAGTTTCAGAGAAACAAATAATACCAAACAAAGTAATTTGTGAATGGACATGCTCACCTCTTTGGAGACCTCTTCAGCCTCTTTCGAGGACCGGGCATAGTTTACCAGAACCTAAAAGTCAAGCAAGAGTCAAGTCCCTGAGATTAGATCAACATGTAATCACATCAGAGAGAAGACACTTTTTATCTGGAGGCAGAGATGCATTAGTCTGTATCTAGGCTTGTGCAGTGCAGTTTGCCCATGTTCGGTTGTCCTCAGATATGCAAGACTTGCATAGTGCTCAAAGA